TGAGTTAAAATAGGATGAAATGGAGTCAAGAAACATTAGTTACATCTAGAAATGTCACCCTTTTTCATCCTGTCCCAACTTTCATTCTGAGATATTGGATTTTTTTTCTTTTACAGGAAAAAGAACTTGGATAGTGAGACGTCAGAAAACACTGTAGTGATTTCATGTACTGTGCCTTTAAGAAATGTGAGCGCGCTTTCGAGCAGGGGCGCGCCCTTTGTTCAGTCCAATTTTCCATCTCGCTGTGATAAGCTGTCCCCATCTCTCTAGCTAAATAAACATTGTCCAGAAGCTTGAAGATTATCGTCATTTTTCCATTCATGTGTTTGCCGAAGAGGTTTTTAACATCCAACAACTTTCAGGCAAGACGCTCTCTGATTTTCCAGCAACCCAGCAGCCGCAGCAAGCAGACGAGAGGAGACGGAGGGAAACAGCCGCCGACAGCCAAACGTGAACCGAGGCGAACACAGCATAAAATGGCGTCAACGAACAGGCCTGTACAGTCTTAAGGTTAATATTGAATTAGCAGGGGTATTATTGGCCATATTTATCTCTGTTTTTTTGATTTTTATGCCTCAGAGACTCAGGGCGGTTCATATGAAGTTTGTCGGCCGCAGCGATGGGCTCCGTCTAATGTCTGGTGTTCTGTCTTTGTTTTGTTTTTGTGTGTTCAACCTTGCTAAGTTATTTGTTATTTTTTGCGACGTGTTGCCCGCCGCAGGGGTTAAGTGTGTGTCCTCTGGCGTTTTATGTGTAAAGTACGCGTACTTTTGAAGAAAAAGTGTTGAGATGCATCTCTTGTATTGAGTTTTCGCCGCATCTCCGTAGTTGAGAAACGGGTTGGCAGAGAGACGTCTTTGTCATTCTGTTAGCTGCTGGAGGGCGCGGTGAATGGTTCTGCTGTTAGCAGTGTGTGTACGGGGCCGTTCAGCCTGGTCTTTGTTCTCTCGCCCGGATAAAAGTACCCGGTTGCAGTATCTTCTGAGGCCTAAGTGCTGTTTAATTCCGATGAAATAGGCCGGGGAGGTAACAAAATATTGGGTGGTGGAGGCTCCGTCTAGTTACTGGAAGTTTAAAGGGGACATGTCACGTTTTTTTTTTGTTTTTTTTTTTTAATTCTGTTCAAGCAAGGGAGTACAGACCTTTGTGTTTGTCTGTTCTAAATGGTTGTTTGGTGTTAATTGTGGGGTTTTGTTGTTTTTTCTGTTTATTATTTGTGAATTGACTTGGCGCGGTTTGGGCTGGAACCAAATTGTGTGGGTGCAACGTTTTTTCTTGCTGCAACTCCTTTGTCTTGTCTAAGAAGTGATTTATTGCAGAGCATCAGGAGTGGGGGTTTTGCTGCTGCCTTTGGATGCATCTGGCTTTCATTAACTTGTTTTTCTCCTCTCTCTCTCTGTCGTTCTTTGTTCGGAGCTCCTCCTGCTGGTGAGAGAGACAACTTCCTGCTGCAGGAACGAGCTGTGGGGGCTCCCATCCTTTTTAGCCAGGTGAGTAATTCTGTTTTATACACAAACTAAAAAAAAAAGAAAAGAAAAAAGCATTATTTTAATTCTTTGTCATTTTTTGAGTGACAGCTACTGAGCATCGACTGTTGCGCTTTGTGGTGACCGTTTCAATTTTAATTTTCACGGCCAAAGAGAGGTATATAAATACAAATTAAATTCAAACTCAAATTAAAAAATTACTTTATTGAAAGAAAGAAAGAAAGAAAAGAGTTGGTTTATAGTTTTTTTAATATAGTTTTTTTATTTTATTTTATTTTATTCTGTGTTTGTTTTTTGACAAAGAACAATGC